GAGTGATAAGTGATCTCTTATTTATCATATCACTTAGTACGAAAAGTTCGTTAATCATAACTTAAAATGTCAAAGAATCATGAAATTTTGTTTTTGGATTCGATATTTATGTGAAGAACAATTTGTCCTTTGACGAGCAGTGGTACTGCTCAAATCAACCATTGCTAAACGCCTAGTAAAGGTCGTTAATTAATAGTACTGCTCTCTCAACTGTTGGAACAATATATATAAATCTATTGAATTAATCTTGTGAATTGATTTCTAGCAAAAAATATATATATCTTTGAATTGATTGTCCAATATGACAAATATGATTATATAGATATGTATGCATATTGTTTTTTTATGGGATATGTATACATATTGATAAAAGCTGAATTGTCACTAATATTACAAATTACCAACAATCAAGTCAATAAAACCTTTATAAATTATGTGTGCATATTTTTATTGGAAAATGAGAATAAAAAAGCTGATATCCTTTCACTACTTCCATATATCCTTGAGATGGTGAAAAGTGATAGCAGTTAGTATTTGCCGTAAGTGAATATTAATTAATTAATACTGAATATAAAACAATTGTTCTTTTACTCGTTAAATAGTTAAATTCCTATATTTATAATCTGAAAATCCACCAGGCTGTAATTTAACTTTTCAACTAGAAGTACCAAAATCACTTCCCATCCTACAAATTACTTTCCATCAAAAAGGGAAAAAGAGAAGAAAAATGACTTTAAGTTACCTAGTTTATTCATATGTTATGAAAGTTGGATTAAATAATATTATTGTTCGAGTGTTATATTGGAAGTAAAACTTCCAACAAATTATAAATTAATTGATATGATTACGTCTCATGATATTCAATATTTAGATACACAGAAACACATATCTAGTCACCTATTTTTCATGTATATGAGGCTTCTTTATTAAGGGACTAAAGTTCTGTTATTTTTTTTCTTTGGAATAAAGTTCTGGTTGTTTGTGCTTATCAATTCACAACACATTAATTAATTATTCTATTTGTTTGTTCATGTATATATAAAGACAGACTGCCCAAGATACCAATCTTAGCTATACACATATAATTTTTTTTTTTAAAAATAAATAAATAAATTATATGTCTGTGTGTATATATTATATAAATTAAATTAATGAGCTATATAATATTGTTATTTCACTTTTCCCCTTTATCTTTTCGTTAGACTAATGATCCGAACGTGACTCATTGAACTAATTCATTTATAATTTTAATTTCTCTTATAAACTAATTATGTTTGACTGGAAGTTAATTAATCAATAATTATATTACCTTTTCTTGATTAACTAAAGAAAATATTGTTGAAAAAAAGGGGTCAAACTTTTCCGACAAGGATTGGCTCTGGATACACGAATATTTTAGAGAAATATTTGAATGTGTAAACAAATTAAAACCTAAATATTGTGTGTTCACTCATGAGTTTTTACTTTAGATACACGTAAAAGCTTTTATTAAGAAGGATACTAAATATGAGTTTATTAGATACATAGATAGCCTCGTAAGGCAGGATACTAAATACTAGTATCTTGGTTGATATGTAAGAAGTTAATAAGCACAGTATTGTATAGATACAATACTATGCTAGATAACATTTTAAACGAAACCTATATATGTTTAGCAACAAATGAAACTATGCCAGTATAAACTGCCATTATTATTCATTGGTTGAAAAGTAATCATATATATTTTTCTGTGCACCTATATTATTTTGTACTATATATAAGTAGTCTTAAGTCTGATAGGACTAATCCGGCAAATTACATGTAGCTTTTTCATATATCCTTATAATACACAATGTTATATGTGCTCGACTATATTTATTTAATGTAGCATTAAAGTAAACGAGTATTACACATACATACGAATGAAATTACACAGATGTAGGAAAAAACTTATAAGTCAGACTAATCCGGATGTTGAATTTAAGACAATTTCTATATCCCTAATATATAAATAAGAAGTCATTATTTGCATAAATAACATGCTATACATGATTGGAGCAGATCATTAAGAAGTAGGAGTGTTCACAGTCTCATTCGGCCTCAGATTGTGGGAAAAAAAGATTAATTACACCATATTATTATAGGGTGGTTCGGTTTTGTGATCTGGACCGCGGTTTAGGGCTAGACATAATTTTCTTTTAAGGGCAATGAGGGCTGGACATAATTTTCGAGTAAAAATAAGTACGATACAGTTTTTGACCTTTTTTTAATGTCTTTTTAATGTATTTGAAGGTTAAAAACTTGAAAATATGTATAATATTTTATTTCATATTTGGCAAAATCTAAATATAAATCAAATAACCTATATCTATTTAAGCAAATCAAGTTTGGTTTTCAGACTCTCATTGTCAATTCTGGCCGCGCGATATATACCTAACCAACGTTCCAAAATTAAACCATCAGACCGATCCTTTCCAGCAGTTTCTGGTCTACTCAACACAAGGCTAATTAAGAAGTTCGCAAATGAAGGGTAAAATGTATGTAGGATGCACAAAGAAGGAATTTCGTTGCCAATAATGCATATAGAAGATTGCTGCAAAGATCAAGAAGGCTTTTTTTATTATTATTTTAAGTGAAGGCTTTTACTACAGCTTTTAGATTATAAAAATTATTAAATTTTAACTTTAAATTCTGCACCACACCAAGGACAGGATATATATATATATAGGAGTATATATACTAGGGCCGATAATTTGAGATACAACACGATGAAACAATATGAAAACGACACGAGATAAATGGGTTTAGACCGCACGATTATTAATTTGGTCGTTAACGGGCTGGCACAAATAACACGAAAATAAATGGGCTAAATTCCTACCAGCCCGTTTAACACACTTAACCCGTTTAGTTATATAGGCCATTATCAGACCGACATGGCCCGGCCCGGCCCGACCCATTTATTAAGCCTATATATATATATATATATATATATATATAGACAAAACCCTACTTCTGACTCAGTCTCTGGAGGCTTCTCTTTCTCTCATTCTCTCACCTGTCGTTTCAGGTATTTCTCAAAATTCTCACAACCTCAACACCTCAAATGCAATGGAAGGTAACAAGAATTTCCTTGTGGCACGCCCAAGCTATAAATTTCCTTTCATTAATAAAATGTTTTCTTTTTTCATAAATATGTTAAAGCAACTGAAAATTAATTTTAGTTTTTAGAACGTAGTTGGGCATTCAACCTCAAGGCTCAAAGAAGACATTTTCCTACATTTAGTTTATGTTTTATGCACTTAAACATTCAAATGTTTGGTTATATTTTCACACTTATTTAAATGCACTTGGTAATGTTTTCAAACTTCTTTGGATGTTTGGTAATTGGTATGTTTTGAAACATATATACTTGATAATCTAGTAGTATCATATATATATATATATATATATATATAAATTGTGTGTGTGTGTGTTTGATATTTGGATATTTTAATGTGTGTTAGCTAGTATGCATGATTTTAACTATAGGTGATATTAAGTAGTCAATTAATATAGTTTTGAATACAATATAAAATTCCACTATCTTTTGCTAGTTGGATCATAAACGTGTCATAAATGTGGTTTTTTTTCCGTGTTGGCCCATCACTGCACGTTTAGTAATCGTGTTCGCGTGCCGTGTCATGTTAACCATTTTATTAGCCTTTCGTGTTCGTGTTTGAATTTCTGATACGTTTATTAATCGTGTCGTGTTCGTATTCACTATAATTGTGTCGTGTCATAATCGTGTCAGCCTGAACACGACACGCAAACACGAATTGTCAATCCTAATATATACGACTATTATGCAAATAGAATTGCATTCTTCTTTTTTTTTTCCCCCTTATGGGATTGTCATTCTTTCCATATATAGGAAATGTATCTTCAAGTGCCTTCTTTTTTTTTTCAGTAAAGACAGTTGCACGCAATATTCGATGATTTTTTTACAGGAAAAAAAACGAAAAGAACATAATTAGTTATACACGATCCAATTTAGTCACTTTTTTTTTTTTTTTTGTTTTCTTCCAAGTCTTCGTTGGCAATTTAATATTGTATATATATATAATATTGTTACATAAAGTTATTTAATACAAAACAAAGCATATATAATGCACATTTCCACTCACCTTTTTTCCTTTTAATATTGCTAATCCTCCTCACTTCAATGAGAAAGTTTAAAATATAAAGAAACACGCTGTTAAAAAAATATGACATTTGATGAAGTCATAAAGAGCCATATCTATTGAAAAAGAACAGAAAATTCGTCAATTTCACTGAAATAGGAAAACAAATCCTTTTTCTCTTCATGATACTCTTATTACTTATCTGTAGATTATTGGTCCAGTACTGCTGTGTTAAGTAAATGTGACGTCTACTATTAGATGTTAATTAATGGTTAGCTTCTCAAGACTCCAAAAGGCCAGATTTCAGATCATCAGATTTCCTTGGATATGCTTCAATATAAATATATAATTGCAAAATGTGTAAACGTGTCATTTTGACCAAACACTCCTACTAGCTTATCATATATAAATATATATATATATATTTTGTCCTATTAGAAAATTTTGGGTTTTCAGTGCTCTAGGCACTCATTCAGGAAAAACAACAGAAGTAACAATAATATTTTAATAAAAAACTTAGGGATATTCATAATTTTTAATGACAAATAAATTAATCGAGAATTAAAAAGGGGGTGAAAAAAAATACATACAAAGATATATCAAAGTTATAACTCAGGAGAAACCCAAAAGCCTTTTTGAAATGATCATTTATCTCAACCTACCATGTATAGTTTTTACACATATCTCCCAAGTCTAATCCATCATATCATATGAGAAACAACAACATGATCTATATTGAGCATATCAAATAAAATATATATGAAAAGTTCCCAACCAAGAAAAATTTGGGAAAATTAATATAAATAAAACTTAAAATTAGAGGCCAAGAATTGAACACATAAAAACATACTAGCCACCAATCTCTTTTTATTGCAAGTTTAAAAGGGAAACATTAAGAAGCAAGGCAAGGGGAAAAACAAAGCTCTCTCTGTAATTTACATTGCATGATCTATAATATTAGCTATAAGAAAAACAACACTAATTGTTGTCTCTTGTTCAGATTCTCTCTAACATCTCTTTTCCCAAACTCTCTCACTCTGTGTTTGCTTTTCAGAATACAACAAATATAAAACAGATTGATCTTGATCACAACTAAATCCCCCAAACCCTATTATTACCATTATGATGATCACTTTGATCAATTTTATCATCATTGATCAGTAAGGTGGTCTTGCATGAGTCCAAGCATAGGGCTCATGCCCAAGTTGATGGCCTCCGTTGGGGACAAGATTCGGCGGCAGATTGTACACCGGCAGCGCCGAGGGATCCGGTAGCCCCGGCGGGTGCAATTGTCCCCCGGGGCCGCCTCCTATAGCATTCGGAGAGCCTCCCGAGCCGCCGCCACCACCATGTCCTCCGCCGCCACTTCCCGCTTCCTCGTCATCGTCGAGCGGCAATCTCTCGTAGGTCGCGTTGGCGAATGTGGCGGCGATGACCATGACCGGTCCCGCCGCGACGAGGGACCCGACGACGCTCCCTCCCACGACCTGGCCCTGGCCCCCGGCTAGGTAAACCGTGAGGCCGGTCGACCCGGGCGGAGCCGGTCCGGGGAGGAACGCGCCGGTTAAGGAGAGAATTTCAAACCGGCCGTGGAGGGCGACGACCGCGCCGGGGGCGGAAGGCTGGCGGAGGGTGACGTTGGCGACGGAGCCGCTGCCGCTTAGCACGCAGACGCCGCGCTGGCGCCTGCGGGCGAACTGCGCGACGCTCTCCGCTACGTCGGCGCCGCCGGCGACCTCCATGACGTGGCTGCGGAGGGCGTTGGGGCTGTCCCGGGTGACGAATATCGGCGGCTTCGGCTTGTTCTTGGATCCCGGAGGCCGGCCTCTCGGTCTCCGGTTGCCAATTTCGACCGCTCCCTCCTTGGGCTCGTCGTCTTGGTCTCTGTCGTCGTCGTCGTTATCGCCTCGGCCGCCGGCACTGCCGCTTCCGCCGCTGCTCTCGTTGATGGAGAGATCGTGGCCGTCCGATCGTTTGTTGGAGAGTAGAGAAGAGGAGTTGGCTGCCAGGTCCATGACCGGCAGTCCCAACTGATTGGTCCACCACGGATTAGCCAGATTAACAATCTCTTCAAACGCAAAATTAAAGCAAAAACGAGCTTAGCTATCTAGCTTAGTATTGGAAATGGAATTGGAATTAAATTAGACCAAACCTAGAATTTAGATTTTGGTTAATCTGTATAAGCACGAACAAGAGATCAAGAAGATGAATCTTAATCAAGGGAACTAGATGCAAAAACCCTTGCTTTGTAGAATCTATCAAGCACAAAAGAGAAAGAGAGAGAAAGAGAAAGAGAGAGACAGAATAAACCAAAGCACTGAGAAAGAAAATTAGCAATATTATTTATGACCGAGAAAAAAAAAAACAACAAGAAAGAGAGAGAGAGAGAGAGAAGAGAGAGAAACAAGAGAAAGCAGACCCCAAAAACAAAGAGAAACAAGCAAACAAAAATGTTTTTTTGCTTTTGGCTTGGGTGTTATAAGCCCTGCTGTGATTTGGGGAGCTAAGCTAGCTGTTCTTGTGCTAAGGTTTTTTTTGTTCAATTTTTTTATTTTTTTTTTCAAGTCTTATTATTATTATTATTATTATTATTATTATTATTATATACAATTTTCTTTTGGGGGGTGTTTGTTTTGGGTTTGGAAATTAGGGTTTCGTGGGGTCGCGTGCGCGTGGGCAGGTGGGAAGCACGTACTTTTCTCGGGCGCCAACATATGTGGATTCTACATTTGGAATTTGTGTGTGTTTGTGTCTTTCTGTGTATATAATTATGTATGTGTGTCTGTCACTCTGAGTCTGTCTGTACAAAACAATGTTAAGCTTGTAAGTTAACAAGAATGAGTTACATTTAGTATTAGTACCACTTCTACTTCTTTCGATCTCAGAAACCACAGCCTTTTCTATTGTTGCTTTGTACTTTGGTTTTGTTCATTCTCATGCCGGTTCGTTTGTTTGGAGGGTTCGAGTTGTTTGAACTTCAGATTTTGATTCAGATTGGCCTTGGGTATTTTTCTACAATTACAAAAACATAAACTTTTGGAGTCCTTTTAGCCTTTTTTCATTCGTCCAAAAATGATTGATGCCATGGTCTATAGCAATCTAGACTGTTACAATATACAATTGTTGCGTCTTATGTGATGAAGTAGCTCAAGTTTCAACGATAGAGATTGATTATTTATCTATTATCCAACAAAAAAACTGCACTACGGTTCGATTAGAAAAAGATCGATGTGGCTACAAAATTTTCTTAAAAGTTATGCTTAAGTTATTTTTTAGGCATTCAATTGATCTATGTCATTAAAATTTCAGCAACTAATAAAAACAGCAAAAAGTTCCATGATATAGTTTGATTGACGGATAATTTAAAAGAATGTGTGTATATATATATATATATAATATATATATGCATAGACAAAGAAATTTCCAAGAATTAAGGGCACACGTGCATTTAATAAAAATTCAAAAATTCAGGGGGACATATTCTAGGCCTCACATCCATCTGCGCGTGGATGAGGGTGTGCATTTACAGGTGAATTAGAGGATTCACTTTTAAAGAATTAGTACTCAAATATATTATTCTTGTGGAAAATTTATGCTTAATTTATATATAAAAGTGGTACAACTGAATAAGTAGATTTTAAACGTTGTACCAACCTAATTTACAAATGTATTTACCACTAGACCAACCTATGACACATACAGAGAGAATATGATGGTAATCCAAAATTTTTAAAAGCTAATTACTCAGAGGAAAACTACTAAAAACGGTTAAGAAGTCATTGGTGAATTTTGTGACGAGTTACAAATTAAAACCAAAAAAAAAAAAACATTATTAACAAAGTTATGCGGTCAATAAATTATTATGGTAAGAGCACCCCGCCAACCTTGTCAGGTTGAACAGGGTCCTACCTGATAGGATCCATCAAGTGAGGCTGATACATGGCAAATTTATGAGAGTAAAGTTGAAATTATAGTAACTGTTAAAAATATTTTGGAAATAAGAAAATTACACAATTATTATTGTAATGATATTCACATATTATACTACATTGCTACAAAACTAATAAATAATTGTGTAATGACACTAAAATTTGCTATTTGTAAAATATTCTAATTTCTTTTCTTATATTTCAACATGATTAGTAGAATTTTGGCATTAGTATTTGGAAGCTCTTCTCGTTAACACGATGACTAATGACTATAAATAAATTGAAGACATCAATAATATAATGATAACCAACAAGACTGAATATGTAATTTTCCAAAAATAAAAAAAATAATAATCATGTGTATATTAGAAGCACTCAGATTCCAATAATATTTCTTCCTTAGCAGAGGGAAAAAAAGAAAAAGAAAAAGAAAAAAAAAACAAATCGTTAAGTGACATTTGTCACCATGACACTTAACAAAAGTAGAATTGTAGAAAAATATACAAGTTAATGCAGTAATATTTCTTAAGGTTTGATTTTCACTTTATCCGCAAGTTGAAATTTTTTCACTATTTTAATGATAAAATTAACATGAAAAAAGATTAAATTAATAAATATGATGAAAATCTGCTAAAAAGTTCTGAATACCTTGAGTTTTGACACTTGGGTCACACTGTGCCCCTTCAACTATAAAACGTGCGTATCATGTCTTCTAAACTATAAAACTACGCCAAATTCACTTTTGCCGTTAAATTGCATTCAAAATTTTGACAAAATCAAATTAGAGGAGTAGTTATTTTGGACGGATATTTTCATCTACATATTTAAGAGGCAAAACCTAATTATTTTATCTACGATTTCTAGTCGGCTAGTTATATTTTGGATGAATATTAGGTTCGTTTTGGCAGATGAGAAAATTGAATGGGAATTGGGGTTCTTGATACTAGTTTCTAGTTAAAAACTATATTAAATTGGTAAAACCTAGAAATTCAAAAAGTTCATAATACTCAAAATGTTTGCATTACCTTGAATATTTGGTTGTAGCCCAATAGTTGTCTCCCTTGGTTTTCATCATTTTTCTCCATTTGTTCCACTGCTTCCATCCCCATGTATTTGAAGTTTGTACTTCCCGGCAGCCCATTCAACTTCTTCATCGAAGCTCCACTCCTTTTCATCGCCTCTTTCCATGAAAAATGTCTTCTCCAAAGATAAGGTGCGCTTTGTAAATAGTCTTCTTGGCACCCTAAATGCTTTTGGGTGGGAAAGGGTATTCTTTGGAATATAAATGATAGGGTATTTGGTACATTTGCCGTCGCTCGAAATTTTTTGTGATGGGCAAATTAGACTCGAAAACTTTTATTTCATTAAAATTTTCCTTGAATTTATAAAAGTATTATAGAGTACCCTAAATTGAAGAGATTACTAAAATTTAGACAGAAAACGGCCTCGCACATATTACATGAGTTCGTTTATAGGACAAGACTAATATTTCTTATGAGGATTAAAGCACATGTTATGTGCATTTACTTCCAAATCTTATCATTATTTTCATTGATCATTTAGGAGCACCTTACAAAGTAATTTGTCACAATTTACAGTCTGAAGGAAAAGTGTCGAAAACCCTAAATTATGGAAAAACCCTCTTTCTGATTGTTAATAGATGTAAATAAATGAAAATATTAAATTGAAGGACGTATCTTTCGAATTTTACAAGTGTGACAAGTACACTTACAATTCATATTGACTGATCAAGTGGTAGATTAGGAAGAACTTATTATTTTTGTGTCAATACTTATGGTCTATTTGGTTCATAGGTTTAATTAGAAAGTTTAAACATAAATTCAAATTTTTGTGAGAAAAATACTATAAAAATATTTCAACGGTAATTTAAACCTATGAAATAAACGGGCTCGTACACAAAATAAACAATTTAGACATTTTATTTTTGTTTAAAATTTATTTTATGTAAATTTGAACAAAGTTAGTTTAAATGTATATGTGCTAATCATGTTTTCTTTCGACAAGTGCTAGTATGACTGTCCTCAAGCATTGTCGGTTTATGGCCCGGAAATAAAATGGTATGAACAGAAAATAGTAAATTATATTAACAACCAAATTTTTTATTGACCCTAAGATATTTAAATTTATAATCATCATTATATTTTTAATAGTAAAAGCTCACATAATTTTATGAATTTCCTTATACACACACCATACCCAACTGCGATCTCATTCTAAGAAACAGTTTTCTTAAAAAGTTTCTTTGGCTAAGAACTGATTCTTTTCATTTAAATGACTTTCTTTTATTATTATTATTATTACTATTATTATTATTATTTTGCGTATTTTCATTTGAAGTAATTGAAACTCTTTGATAATGTGCATACAATTACCATTATTGACCAATAATTTAACAATCAAATTCAAAAAAAAAAAAAACAAAAGAAAAGAAAAGAAAAGAAAAGAAAAGAAAAGAAAGAAAACAAATCAATCTCAACTAGCTGAAGATACCGAAGGCTCCTTGAGCTTGGTCCAAACACTTCAAACAAATAAAGCGCCACGAATATTAACTGGTCTCAAAGTTTTTGTTTTTGATTTTTTTTTTTTTTTTTTTTTTTTTTTTTTTTTTTTTTTTTTTGGAAATACATTCAAAGTTGATTTTTAGATAAAGAATTGGTGTTAATCCCACAAATATCCCTGAAGTTTATACCCAATCCGACTTTGGTCTTTCACTTTCAAAATGTCACAGACTTAGTCCCTAACCATTCACTTTGTATCACTCTTGGTCCCTTCGTTAGTTTAACGTTCGTTTTTGGATGGAAAAAGGCATGTGCTTCTTATGTGCATGGTTGTTGGATTGATAAAATACCCTTGGACCTCTTTCACAGGTTATTAGGGACCAAAACTGAGAAAAATCCAAAGTTCAAGGACCATTTCTGATAAGATTATTATTATTATTATTATTATTACTATTATTATTTTAAAATTAGGCAAAGAATTGCTTTCAAAGTTACGAAGTTCAGAATCCAATAGAATTTAACAAGCATTAAGGATGATAATTCTTGCCTGCCTTTTCATTTGTTTCTCTTTAAACACTTTTAATTAAATTTATTTATTTATAATGTTTAGGATTTTTTTTTTCCCCTCGTTAGCGAGTGCTATTCTTAATTCATTGATTTTCTCTTCCCTTTCTTTCCTTTTTTGCTCCCCTCCCCAATTGGAAACCGAATCATGTCCTTGGATTTTCCAAGAGACGTCACGCTATATTTGGCTTCTTTTTTTTCTGACTGATATATATATATTGAAAATGGAAATTATATTTCAAATCAGAAAATTACAATTACTAATTCAGACGCGAAAGACCCAAGTGCAATTAATAAC